CTAGGAGATTTGTTCCTCTGGAAATCATCGTCTTACAAGCTTTCCCCAGTAAATTAAATGGACCGTGCACGAAGATTAGAGAGATTAAACAGAGGTGAAGTACAATTCCCCCCCCCCTTGCGACAGACCCAACCCAGATGGATTTTGCTTAAAGAGGATCACTGCAGCGGAGGATTTCTTGACCGTCAATGCTGTCCATTCATTGCAGAACCGAAAGGGCTATGTCTTGCCCAGTGAGTATTCCAGTGGTACATTGACGTCAGAAAGGCCGCACAAGCCCCACCTATGAGGGACAGAGACGGCACGTGGGAATTTCTATGTTGGAGTCCAGGTGCACAACCAGGTTTTTCATCCTATTAAAGGGCGGTGGGACAGAAACCACTCTCCGTGTAATTCTTCCGGTTCAAAGCCCCTGTATTTTTTCTTACATTTCACAAGTTTGCAATTTTTGACGCCAGTGTTGTAAAAGCCTCCCGTTTCCATTGTGGAATTACGACACATCGTTCATACAACATAAATATGCTATTTTTGAACACATCAAGAACAAAGCCTGATACACACAGACAGTGATGTGAATTTATAAGCATAAAAACATTCATTTATTCCATTCGGGTGAACTTCTGTAGACGTATACCGGTACAGCAAGGAACAGTTTTGATTAAAACTGTTGAAATAAGATCCACGGCTTCTTTGACAATAATATGCGAAATTGTCGTGAGAAAAGGCAAGCGATTACACTCTTGTAGCGCATGAGTTTACTGTATTTTTCGGTTTGAGAATACAAATAGTCTTTATTCACGAAGAAGTCATGTTTTATCGTGTTTCCTGAATCCAAAATGTTCAACGTAATCTGGGACATGCGGTGGTGCCGGATTATTTGGGGTTCCAAACCTCACTTTAAATTGTCGTGTTTTAAACGTGGCTTAAAACATTTAGATAATTTATCACAAACTTTAAATTATTCAGAATGTAAAACTGGCATTAATTTGTCATGAAGTTTTTATTTTGTTTCTGTTATCGTTACACTCGCGTTCCCCAAATGAAAAGTAACCCTACTTTCGATTTAAGATGGCGACACACGAAACACTGTAATACGGGAACCGTTTATGGCAATGGTCCGAAGAAGGATTTAATACCAGTACATACATGCTCTGCAGCACTGCAGTCATCTGCGGTTCCCCAAATTGGTAGGGCGGTGTGTCACTTGAAAGCTTCACTAATCAGAAGCAACGTTGGAACAAGAGGAACAACTTCTTAAACCAGATTTGCCATACGGATCCTAAAAGTGAACTTTGTGGAATCTTAAAAGTGAATCTTATTGAATGGCAATTTTATGGTATCTGGACATGAAGTTCTTTGTCCCCCTTTTCCCCAAGAGAGGCGGGGCACCTCGAGTATTCAGAAGGCTCCATATATCTTTTTCGCGCTGTTGTGCAGTGTTTTGTCTTGGTAACCCTCATCTTTTAAGTCTGTAGTTTGTTTCCATAAGGTTCCACTGATTAATTCCTGTGGGCCCAACACCGGCCGTGCCTCCCCGGGACAAAATCGATGAGAACAGGGGAGTGAAAGGACTAAAGAAGAGACACGTCCCCCCCCGGAAAAGCCAGAACATACTGACACTCTCTTTGGCTTAATTCTAGTAATCCCCGACCTTAAGCAGATGTTCTCTGCTCGGAAAATTCAAGCCACCCCCCCCAAGGGTTGAAAAGTTGTTTGATGAACTTACACGAAATGGCTGTGCCCTCTTGATCGATTGCTCGCCGGACAATGCACGATAATCGGGGCTTGGTGACTTGTGTTCTTGCGGTGTCGTTGACAACAGTTTATTACATTTTTTTTTCTCAAAGCGTGGGTCTGCATCTGTTAACAGTTAATCTAACCAACTTGGCCAGTAACGAGCCTCTTAAGCGGATCATTCCCGATTAATTAACGATTTTGTAACTGCCAATAAAAAACATGTTAACACGGTTGGGGTTCTCGAGTTGAATGATCGTTAGCGATGGAGAAGCTTAGGTTGAAATTGGAAATAGTTGGTTTTGCACTAATTCCTTCGTACAATTGAAAATATCATCCCTCTACCAAAAAAAAAAACCAAACAAACAAAAGAACTACTGAAAACCTTTAGAACTACCAAAATACAAAAACTACAGCAAAACAAAAACCGAAGACAAGATAAGGTAAACTTTACTTTTAGTAGGCCTATAACATGATGACGTCTGACTTTAATAGGTGGGCTGTCTAATATGGCTGGGAGGTGGGACGTTATCTATTAGGTCCTGCAGAAAACGCACAAAATAAACACAGCGTGCTGTCATTAAGACCTGTTTGCTCGAGCAAATCTATGTACTTGCATTGATCAAGAAGTCAAAACTTGCAAACTTGCAAACTTGATGTTGAGCTAGTTAGCTTTCACGGTTTGTATTCAATAAATCCATCCTTTGCAAAGCGATATAGTTTGTGTGTTCAACAAAAATTAATGTGTGTGAAATGTTTCGATGACTTTGGTCCTTGAACACGACGCACCCAAATTCTCTATACGCGTTATTACTTACACATGTATTTTTAGATTTACTTGAAATATTTCTCTTGCCAGCCAGTGATATAAATGAGTTGTCCAGTACATGTGCTAAGCGCGTCGCATAGTCCTATGATAAATAGTCCCTATAAACAACCTGCCACAAAATATGAGCTTCCACATTTTGGGATGTTCACGTGATATCTTTCCGAACTGGACCGTTACGTGCCAATAACCGGGAACCTCTCACAAACACAATCGATGAGTTTGATCAATACGTCCAGATTGGACTCCAGATGAACATGTGTTTTGCAATGACGTGGTTTCCTTTATGTAAGTGAAAGCAATGGCGATTACAACATTCTACACAACAGCAAAGAATGCCTTACTCATTGGCTAATTGGGAAAAGCTATAAAAGGTCATCAATAAACTAAATCTGAATCGCAGAAAATATGAAAAAAATCCTTTTCGAAATTCAAACAAAATTTGCACCCGACTTCGTTCCTTTTTCGTCTCAAAATGCTCATGAATAAACGAACATTGTGAGTAACCCCGTAAAATATAATTGGCATTGATTTTGCCTTCAAGCAATTTGAAGGCATTATATCCTGCATGATTATTAACTGTTTCATTTGGCTGACTGTTAAGTGCATTAATAAACCACTCTCATTTTGCCTACAGGAATTATGGACGGCCAAATTTTGGTGAAATGTCACCTTTTGGTTGGTCTTCGATTTTACCCCCATTCGTTCAAAATTTGTCTCATGGATTTTAAATAGGGTTTCCGTTGTACTTGTATTATTTTCTTTGATGTTCTGATGGCTGTGTGGGATTTGTAACACTTTGTGAACTGTTCTTTTTACTTTTGTACTGACGGCCAGCCATAGTTATGGCAGCCACTTGCAGGAAAAAACAAGACTGTGAAGACAAAAGAGCTCGCCCTATTGGGTTAGGTAGATTTGGAAGTGTATTTGTGGCAGGTACACTCAGTTTTTCTACATTTGATTCTAAAGTGATCACTTCTCCGTGCAGTGGTTATTTTTACGACATAGAGTGCGCCACGACAACAGCGCCATCCACCATTAAAAAAAATCGTCCGCGTTCCAGGCTGCAGAACATCAATGCATTGCATCCCAAATTCACTATCTCGAGGGGGAAAGGTCGAAGGAAAATTCGTTGAAATTGGGAGTTAATTAAAACTTCCAATTAACTTGACATGGTGTAAATCAAAAGAACCATTAATCATCGGCTCGCGCGACCGTTATCGGTACACAGCAGAACAGATTTGGTACCGGTATGGAAAGGGCTCGTTTTTATTTTTCCGTCTGGAGCGACAGATAACATTATGTGGGGGGGGGGCTGAATATCAGTTGTCGACCGGGCGAGAGTAGCAGGATCGCTTCGCATGTGCCAATCATCTCGGTGGAATTGGGCACCCGTTGATGTAGGATAAATTATGACGATTCCAGACGGACGCCCCACTCTCGCTAGTGGGAGAATTGGTTTCGAGACACGTTCATGGATATGTCTTCCTCTTAAAAAGAATCGAAAGATGAAGAGATGTCATCGCACTGATACATTGTGACTGTCGTCACGCCTACGCCGTTAATGTTATCTTGAATTTCGTCCCTAAAGTCACCCACGACCTCACTACTACTGAAAATCCACACCACTAAAAGATTACAATGGTTAAAGTGTAGGATGTTTGTTGATGAAATAAAGATGTTAAAAAACCTGTTTCACTGGGAAAGACAGTAGCCAAACAGAAGAAAAACAGAAGAAAGGGGAAACAAAGGGTACTGTAATGACTCAAAACAAGACAATAAAACAAGTTGGCATTTGTAACTTAACCCTGGACCTCCTCCGTCATGGAAACAGTTGAAAAACACAATGGTACACCTCACCTTTACCTCAGAGTTCTACAAAATGGACTGGCCTTTTCTTTATTTACTTCGCACCACAGCATAAATCAACAGGATTTTGTGTGCCACCCCAAGGTTCATTCCGTTAACAGACACAAGCCAAGTCTCAAACCCCGACGTTTTGAGCAATTTGGAAATACAAGCATTTAAAAAACACTTCCACTCTTTTCACTTTCACTATTGTGGTTCATGGCACAATATATGTCGATTAAAAAATGATAGAAGTCAATTTTACTGGCAAGAAACGAAAAAAAAAAATTGTAAAATGCGAGATGACCGGTCATACTACACCAAACTTTACAAGTTGACAGTTTTCCTCGACCCGGTTCACCGACGCGGACAATGCTCATTTCCAAACAAAGAAAGTAGATATAAGATGCTCCCCTGCAGTGGACCAACAATGGCCACTAATCCACTCATTCATCCAAGACTCACCTTCGCAGCTAAAGGGGAAAGGAGAATCCCTCAACCACAAACATGTGACGACAGCCACGAGTCTGCGCACGCGTGATAGGGTGTGTGAGGGCGCCTTGTCGCATACAGTATTCAAAGGGAAGAGAGAGAAAGTAAGGGGGGAAAAAACGCGTGCATCACCGGCAGCTGTATAAACAACATGGCACGGTCTGAGCAATGCATCACATGCTAGCCTCCTCTCAACCTTCCCTTCATCCCACCCCGACAGAGAGGTTAATCAAGCCTGCTTCGCTCCTGTTTCCGATTGGTTTTCTTCGCCTGGGCCCCCTACCCCATGACTCGAGTCGTACGTCCTGGTGTGGTTTCCACGTACGCCGTTGTGTAGTGTTCGGGTTTATTTATTATTTTCTTGGGTTCTCCCTTTTCGTGCAGCGAGAGAACCGTGTGTATGCGGCGTGTACGTACCGCGCATTGACGCGGCTAGTCGGTGGGTGATTCTTGTACTTAACCCGGCCCCCCGTGCACATTGTGTCTCCAGTTTCGGCGCTCACTGCACTCGCTGCGGGCTGGGCGTAAGCAAAAAACAAGGTTTTGTGATGCTTTCGAGCGAGCTTGCGGCCACATTGGACAGCGGCCTAGTGGGAGACGTCGGTCATTCCGAAGCCAGCCCGTCCACGGCTTTCTCCTCGTCGGCGATCACCTGCGATTTCTTCAGCCCGGTGGAGCTCGCTGCCAAGACCTCCCGGAGTCATTCCAGCGGCAGCAGCAGCGCAGCGGCGGCGGCAGCAGCAGCAGCAGCAGGCATCGGGCTGGGAGCCTCGCTGGCCGGTATGTTGGAACCCGACTTCCGCAGTGTGGCCGACTACGGCATGGGCCCGCTGAACATGAACGGCTACCACCAGCAGTCGGCCGCCACCAGCAGCAACAACTTCACCACGCTGACCCCCTTGCAGCCCCTTCCGCCGATCTCCACGGTCTCCGATAAATTCCGGCACGAGGCGTCCAATGTCAGCGGGAGTTTCACGCTCATGAACGGCTCCAACCTCCATGGTATGTCGTCCAACCCCTACGACAAGCTGGGCGGCATGAACATGGGACATTCCTCCATGGTGGCCCACGGCGGCATGGGCCCCAATTCGGTGTTAAACGGTTACGCCCCCCACCAGTCCATGGGGGGCTACGGGTCCCCCCACCACGGGACCATGTCGTGCACCCCTCAAGACGCCAGATATGCATCCCCGATGAACGGCTACGAGCAGTTCACCCATCATGCCAGCTCCCCTCATCACATGCGGGCCCTACAGCCCCCCTCCCATCCCCACCACCAAAGATCGGGCCTGACGAGTCCCATGGTGCTGAACGGTTACACCGGGATGACGGGCCACACGCACCCGAGCCCCAACTCCGTGGGCCGGTCGGGAGATCGGGGCTCGTCCCGGGTGGATTCAGGGAACACTGGGGAGGAAGTCAACACCAAAGAGGTGGCTGGCCGGGTGACGAGCGAGCTCAAGCGGTACAGCATCCCACAAGCCGTGTTTGCCCAGAGGGTGCTGTGCCGGAGCCAGGGAACACTCAGCGATCTCCTGCGGAACCCCAAGCCGTGGAGTAAGCTCAAATCTGGGCGGGAGACCTTCCGGCGGATGTGGAAATGGCTCCAGGAACCGGAGTTCCAGAGAATGTCGGCATTGAGATTAGCAGGTAAGATTTGCGCTCCGAAATGCTAGATTACACTGACAAGTTTGCAATCCCTATCGCCCGGAGCTACTGGCTTCTCATCATCCATTTTCTGAAGTCTTCTCAAAGCAAACACAGTATACGTACATGTATACTGTACAATCAATAAAACGAGGATCTACGAAGTTGTCATGCTACCCCCAAGTTTTAAATGAGGTACACAAAGTTAGTTTCTTAAAATTACAAGTGCATAAAGGGTTTTTTTCTTATTAACGCAGAAGTTGTACATGATGCAGAATAGGATTTCACTGTTTAATTAATTAATTGGTTAACAAAAAAGGATTAAATTCCTCCATGTATTTGACAGTATATAAACAACAAATCGGGGGAAGAACATATACACGTGTACAGTTGCATTGGTACAGTTTTCCTGAATCGTTTGTTCATCTTTTGTTAATACCAAAACTCTGCCGCTGAAAGAGTCTGAATCTTAAATAAGCGAAGAACGCAGATATTTGTTAAACTCGAATTACATTTTCATTAATCATAATGTCTACAGCATTCATGTAAAAACTGTTATTTTAGTAGTGTAGGCCCTAACTGTAGAATCAATGACAAAGTTCATGCGTTCTCTTGAACATCGTTGAAACTAGGGCTCTTTCAAGATTACTCAAAACATGCAAAAGCAACAGATTACAAAAATCGAAATTACTTCCCCGATTCACACCCTCCAGTAAAACCAGCAGATCCCCGCGGAATTTTAACGTTCAATTCGCTTCACGAGCGGCCCTGCCGGCCCGTTTGTAAACAAACTGAACGCGTTTCGTTTTCCACGCATTCCTGGCGCGCAAAATCAATGAGGGGGGGAGGGGGGAATTCGATTTTTATCTCGCCTCACTTTTGAAGATGTTTGGGGTTTTTTTGACGGCAAGTGCGCCTGGGTTGTCGATTGCATTGTCCACAAACACAAATTGATTGCCGATAGAAGTGAGAGTGAAGGGGAAATTCACCCACAAATCTGGATCTGGGTTGATAGTTGATTCGCTTGATGGTCGTTGTTGTGCAACAGGGTGAGGAGTCTTTTATGGCGGCCAAATTCTTACGATTCTGTTTTTAAATATTTTTATTACCATGAAGTCACCTTATACCTCTTTTAAATCTCAAAATCACCCCCCCCAATCTAAGCAAATATGGTTATTTTATAGATACATACGTTGTATTATATAGTTTATATGCAGTTTACTGTGAATGGGATCAGTAATAAAGATAGAATGCGCAAAATTCAAAATTTTAAAAGTGAGCTTTATCGTTTACGAATGTACTGTTTTCAATTTTTGAAACTGTGAATCACAATCACGGGTTATTAGAAAATACTATTGCAGTTCGAATATTGGTCAAATTTGCATACCCAGTCTTTGCAAAATTACTCTCGGACCCCAAAAATTACACAGCTGTGGCGCGCGCATTATCCCCGGTCCTGCATTTTAGTTAATTAACTGGAATGTTCGCGTTCACCTCCTTGCCACGGAACGAGAAAACTTGCATGTAATTACCGCCGGAGAAAGTGGACCACGTCCTGGATTTGTAATTGCTCCACATTTAATAGCCTGCAATATTGAGAAGCGAATTCGGTGCACGGGTGTTTCATTGTAATCGTGCAAATAAGTCACTAAATGTTCAACGCGTGCGTGCAGGTTGGATCGGTGCAGACATTTTTTTTTGATCGAAGTGATTCACGTGTTATAAGTACATGTACTGCGGCTTCAGCGTGAGAGAACACAGCACGAGAGAAAAAAAAAACCTGCCCTCCGGCTCAAAAAATTAGCCCTAGTCCCGATACTTGTGAAACAACATCAGTAATTATTTGTCCAGGTAATTTAGCTGTCGTCCTGGCCGGGGAAAATTGCGTTGTTGAAGTAGGGGAGGAATACGGTTCATACACGGCGACGGTGAGGAACAATTTGGTAAAGTGGAGATGACAGATTTTTGCTCCGAGCGGGGAAAGACGATGTCGAAGCGCGGTGGTCGGGCGCTTCGTTAACGGGCACGGAGTTGATTTCACCCAGCGCGGCGGAAACTCTTTCCCCGTGTCTGTCAGTGATTTTGACTGTCTATTTAGGAAATTTGTTGAGAGGTAACAGACTTCATATGATTTGATCAAATTATTGAATAAATAATAGGGAATTCAACCTTGGTTGTCAAGCCTGTCACACTATCAACATTGACCCAAATTTTGTGAAGCAGTTTATCGTGACGTTTTTCAAAGGCGTTTAACGCTTGATTTCCATTAATTCCTGATGTTGGTCATTTTGGTCAGTTTGAGTTTCGATTGACGGCTTCCTGTAGGCGTAACAAGATCATATGATGAAGATGGTAATTGGCATTCCTACATGTTCCGATCTCTTTGAATGTAGTGTATTTTCTGGCGCCTAAACATTCCAAGTCGCTGGTGTCTGAATAGAAAGGTAGGACAGTGCCCTTTCCAGATCGGCAATTTTTCCCCTGTTTGTACCTCGACTTAAACACAGTGAATCTTTTTTATTAAACCATGCCAACAACCATTCAAGATGTGAAAAATATCCCAACAATAATGTGCCAATTTCGGCACACTCTGGTCGCTCATTAATGAGATCGCGTAACACGGGTAGCGCTGACCTGTCAACATGTCGGGGAGTAAGTCCGGAGAAAGAATCAGTCCCGAAAATTTATGACCAATTTTGATCTCCAGGTCCGATCATTGCCGACGCGCTGTGCAAATTGCCTTATCGCCAACCTCGGCGTTGTTAAGTATACGTCGTTAACCGATTGTCGTTTGTTGGATTGGACTGTTAGCTGTTGTAGAAAAAAAAAATCTGTTGGAACTCCGACGAGACAGATCGGGATAAATATCGAGGTGATTGATTGGGGGTGCCCTGAGACGAATTAAACCGATGCGTCAGCGCGGACTGCGTGCACTCTGGGTAGGTCTGCGGTGCAGCGGTTTTAGTAGTCGCACCATGCACACAGCCGTTGTCCGCCATGGTACCTCAGCCAAGCACACAATGGGTTTGTCAACTCTGTAATTGTGGGGCTTTTGTTAGCGTTACGCAACAAGATTCAAGCTGCTTTTTATTTGCTCCTTCACTTACTCGCCTGGCGGTCAAAAGCCCCTTGCTACCATGCCAGCAATGAATCTCTAATGATTGATTGTGTACCGTGTGTGCCTTGCTCCTTGCTGGAAGTGCGGTGGGGCTGAGGCAGTGAAAGCTTCTAAGCTCCTCAGCCATTGAAGTTCAATTCACGCTGAGGACTTAAACCTTTTGGGTTAAATAAAATGCACCGTGCGACCACAGTTTCCCATGAATTGGGAATCCTTTATTAACTGGAGTGTCTTAACATGTGCATGTGTCTTTCAGGTCTACATCTTAACAAGGGGACCCTCATGTACATGTAAAAGCTTGAGTGAAGAACTACAAAATGCCATTTGCTGCGTCCATGTTAAGGACGCTCTTTCAAGGTCTCTGCGGGTTGGCGCTTTTTATAATTGCGGAGAATGTAACAGCAAAAAGAAGCTTCATTTCCTGGAATGACTGTGTAACATTTTCTAGCTTTTGCTGGATTCACTTGAGTTGCGTGCATTTTTTTTTGTGGTCAGACTTTGGAATTATCACCTGCACAGTGCTTTGCGTGACAACTGCAGATTGTGGGGAATTATAAGTGTCTTTATTGCCAGGTTGAAAGTACATGTATCTTAACGTCAGATCTAAATAAGGACAGGGGTTTACACATGCTTGATTGAAAGAAAAGTCACAAAATCGGCTCACATGGAGATGGGAGCTTTTTTTCGAAATTTGAGAGTCAGGGTTTAGGCAAACACTTTCAACCAACTGTGCAAAAGGGATGATTTCTACTTAGGCCATTTAGTCCTCCAATAAAACAAGAAACGGCAAAGAAACAAAGGTTTGGTACTTCTCTGTCCAAAGACGAAAATGTCCATAGTTGTAGAATTAGCAATGTAATGCATTGTCCAAGGATTATTTTAGTGTTTTCTTCAGTTTTTGCCCCACTGTAAATTTGTTCTGCCCTTCCAACACTGTTTCCAAGTTCCTATAGCGTGAGATTTGCCAGTGTGGCATTTCAGTTTTAACCGGCACTGGCCCAGGGCCAAAAACCTGACATGTAAAAGAAGGAGGAGGAGATTTTTAGAAAAAAAAAAGGTCTCAGCCGACTTGACGGGGAGTGTTGTAACCAGATTTGAAAAGAGCAGTGCACTGTAGCTGAAAGTACAAGGCACAATGATAGCTCGACTCGCAGTTTGCTCGTTGGCAAATGAGACAGCAAGAAAGAATGAAGAGCTAGTCCGATTTATCAATTTCTACCTCCATGGATTTATAGTGGGAAATTTAAAACAGGGTGCATTGCCAAGTATAGAAATTGTGGGCCCACACCCCTAAAAAGGCGCATCTAGTAATTCCTATCTGCTTGGGGGTATTTGCACTGAGTTTGCTTGACAACAAACCTGAAATAAATGTGCCCTCGGCAGTACCTCTTACTGGAATGTCTCACAGATGTGACGCTTTCCAATTCGACGATTCAGATCGTCAGCATCATCCTTTCAAATCAGCAGGAAAAAAAGTTGAGTTGTACATGTAGAGAATGTCATCATTATGTGCAGGTATCCACCAGTGACCGCTGTAGTACTTAACCTTACAGGCCTGAAATTTGTCAGGAGTTCTCTTGAATTTAGGATTGTTATCAGAGTTTTTCTGATTTCAAGATATCTCAAATAATCTCTTTTTTAGTCTGGAAAATCTTGAGCTTACCATTAAGGTGTTTTTTTACATGTGAAAAGATGATAGAAAACACAAGCAATGGGTGCTTTGAGGGGTGTTTTCAGGCATAGAGTAGGCTTCTCTGAGGCCCAGAAAATGTAACATTTGGTAGCTCTAGAGAAGTGCCACATAAACCTCATTGCATGAGATAGAAGGACTATTGTACACAGTGCAACAGTTACATGTACGGTGTAAGGTAAAGCAAAGTATTGT